GCCCCGACGATCATTTGCTTGCGTAATGAGGACGCGATGCGCAACAAGAGCAACTGCGAGGAATAATCGGAGGCCGACGGCGCATCGTTACACCTCGCACGGCGCCCGTTCGACTCTGTGTTTATGCGCCTGCAGCAGCGCCGGTCGTCCGTGACTTGAAGCGGCTGCGAGGAAGATCGATCGGAACGACAATTAACAAAAGTCCATTTACAGACGAGCGCTCCGGTGAGAAGCCACAGCGGCCCTCGCAGACGTCCAGGCCGAGCGCACGTTCCGCGGCAAGGGCCTTTCGTCGGCGCGCTGGTCGCCTCGTGAGAAAATCAATTTGTCAGCCAGGCATAAACGTATCGGCGTTCGACGTAATCGCGCGCATCTAAAGAATGGAGATGATACAGGGAGGCTCCCTCGACTCGCACGCGCAGCTGCATTTTTGCAGACTCGTGCGCACCAAGAGCAGAAGCAGGAGCAGGAGCAGCGGCAGAGAGTGCGGAATGCCGCCGCTGCGGCCTTGTTAAGCCAGGCAGCGAACGGCTCATCGCTAATGAATTCCCGGTAAAACGCGAGCGCGCGACCACTCATACTCTGCCTCGCTATCTGCCGCGCTCTCTTTCTCTCTCTCTCTCTCTCTCTCTCTCTCTCTCTCTCTCTCTCTCTCTTAAAGGTGTCTTGAGTACGCGGACGTTTGCGCTTCGCGCGCCCCTCTTTAAGATGCGCGCGCGCGCGTCATCGATTATTGCGATTATGCGCCGGCGACGTGTTTGCCCGATGTCTGCTTAATTGAACGCTGAGTATCTCGAGCGCTCTGCGGATGGGGCTTTTGCTCGCGGTTTCTGGCTCGACGTCCGTACGAGGCCGATTGGCCGATTTCTTCTACTAAAACTTTCGACTTCTCTTTGATTCGCAGAGTAAAGTCGCGGGCTGCTTTCGATGGAATTCGAGCACGTTCGCATTTCAGCCGCGGCCACTTTGCTTTTGGGCACGTTTCAAGTCTCGGGCGGTGTATACATCTGCGCGAGTGAAAACCAAACGGCGACCGTTAGGTTCAAGGCGCGAGCGCGCAAACAAGTAGAGAAAAAAGAGCCGTTCGTCCTAAAACTTCACTATACGTTGGTGTGCCGGGCGGCAGACTAGATTCTGAGAAACTAGGCGCGCGCGTCCAGTCGATCGCGTATACTTGCAATATGTGATGGAAGAATAACGCAAAGCGCTCGAATACTGCAGCGTGAACACGAGCGTCGTGCTCGCGGCGGATCGAAGAAGGGACACGCAGGACGGACGCGCGTACTATACATAAAACAGCTGCGAGCGCTGAGCAACAGAAAGAGAGAGAGAACATTGACTGATGATAGGATAAGTTAATTAAAAATTGCAGCTCACGATAGCGCACGTTGACTCAATAATTCTCTAGCCAGAAGCGCACGATGATCACAGCAGACTCATTCTTTTCTTGGACAACTCATGGAAAATTACGGAAGATAGGGAGCGGCGGCAAAGTAGAGAGTATCGGAAAATTGTTCGGGATTGTAATCCGTATGGTAATGTCGCACGAGTGGAACGCAAAACTGTAATGCATGATAAGCGTTTTGGAGGATTTTCAGAACGAAAATTGAATAAATATAATGTTACGTCATCGACACGCTGCAGCTTGGACTATAGCGCAGCGCGCAACCCGTACAAGTATTTTGCAGCTTGAAAAATAGCCATTAAACTGAAATATATGCCTGTTTGTACGGACGCGCCAACGCTCGGCAGAAATGACACGGTAAAACAATGTAGCGCGTATTTCGGAATGTGTTGGCTCTCGCACACAAAATAGCTTTGGGCTTTTAAAGCGCGAAAATTTATCGCCCGATTAACCGCGCATTATAACGCTTATGCCACATTGCCTCGTGCCCGCGTCGACAAACAAATACGCATGTGCCACGGAAAATATCCGCGCGAATTAATTCGACGAGAAAAGCGTAAAATATCTTTCTTTCAAAGGCTAATCCAGCCTCCCCCCCCCATACCCGTTTCCAATTACCCGTGAGAGGCTAGAGGGAAAAAGAATTTCCTTTTCTCTTTCTCGTCAAATTGGCGACTGCGTGGCTACGCTACCGCATTATATAATCGGCTGAACAGCTCTCTTTTTACGCGGGCAGCGCATTTGCAAAGGAATCGTCCCTTATGCAAATCGAATGCTCTTTTTACCATGCGCGCCAAAATTTTTCGGCTGCGATTCTGTTCCCTTTTTTTGCTGCGCGATAGAGGTGCAAATGGAGCTACCTTACCCGCACGCCTATTGATTAGTCTAATCTGCTCTGCGTGCTCAAGGAACTTTTTGCAATCTGCACCGAATCGCCCTTCTTTCCTACTTCTCCTTTTTTCGTTGGATGAAAAGTACGCTCGCCTACTCTCTTTATTCTTATCTTCTATCTGTAATTGCAGTTGATTCTTGTTATCGATGTACGCTCGATCTGAATTTTAAACTTAAGTTTGATTCTACTAAACCTAATTATGAATCATTCTTTTATGTTATTAGTTTAAAATGAGATTTTAACTTTGATTTATCAGGTATCAAATAAAAATTAAATACTGACCTACGAATGTTACAACTGGAAAACAGTTCCGCGATATTAATCCGTGGTCCAATTCTATAGAATAAAAAGTGTCAATCGTCTGGCTGAAGTTTACCAATTCCGAGATAACTAGTTTAATCCTATTATCCGATTTCGCGATCTCGAAAAATTCTCAGCTGTAACAGTAACCGTGGGGATGTCGCATCGAGTTGACACTATCTCGATGTGACAAGGTGTCTGTTTCGAAACTTCATATTTTTTAGTACAGTCGACAATTCTTACATTTCATGTAAAAACGTTATTTTTATAGATCTTGCAATACTGGTAATCTTAAAATAGAATAAATTTGAATAAATTTCACAATTGTCGCAACGTTGATCCTACATAGACTGTAGTGACAAAAATGAGTCTTCACTTCATAACGTACATTTGCGACAATAATACTGTACCAGAAAAATCTTTGTCAAAATTTTTTCAAAAGTTTACAGGCTTTTGTCATGAATCCCCGGCCATGCATGATACAAAATAAAAGCCATGTTAACCAACTTAGTAGCTCGTAAATCCTTGCGATTCCCACAAAGAGTACGTAGACCTTTCGCTCTCAATTTAGAGACGGTCCGTCAAAGTGAGCCTGAAAAAAAGGATTGCTCTCCCAAGTGTCATCAGCGAGTTGAAAAAAGAATTTAAAAAAGGAAGCGTATCGGTACGACCCATTTGACGTTGGGAAAAGATTGACTCACGGCGAGTCCTCTCCCAACAGTTGAGAGCGTTTCGATCAAATAGCTGTCCCGTAAGCCGATTACGAAGGTATTAGACGCTCTTCTCCTAAACGCAAGATCGATTACAAACCTTCTCTTCTCCCCAGGCTTTGCAAGGCGATCCCCAGAAAATAAGGGAAAATTTTTAGTTTTCATCTGTCGTGGGATAAAGGTGTAGATGATTATGTAGAGTTGCAAAGATGTTTTTAGGCTAGCAGATATGATATCCGGACCATGTACTGGTTCTCGATTATAAATGTAAAAGAGTCGGATTTATTTTTTTTTTAAATAATTTGTATTGAACATTTGAAGATTGGTTTTTCATCATTATTTAATTAACTACGTAATTTCTTGTATAGAAAACCTTTTTTTATAGATAATGATTTGATTATATAAATTAAATAATGTTTGTCTTGATAATCAATGATAATAAAATTGTACAACTTGATTTATTTATTCATATACTTAGAGAGTTAACGTCGTCTATTGATTTAATTCTAAATCTAACGTACTGTCTTGTCCGTGTATATTTTCAAAGAAACTCATTATCACAGCTTCAATGGAAAATGACAAAATAATATTTACGTTTTAAACTTTATGAACTTGATGTGCTTATACCAATAACTTACTGAGAATTAAACACACATTGCTTATTTAGTCACTCTTATTGAATATGATAGCAGTTTCTTTTCTGCATTTCGGTATGTTAATTTTACTTCGGAAATTTTTAATTCATAAATGAGAAATTTTGAATAAAGTGAACTTTTGTAATTATACTGAACGTTTCTAAAACGTTGTAGAAACAGCCAGTACGATAAAACTACGATATTTGAGATTTGTCAATTTATTCGATCTATTTATAACTAGTAGTATGTACAAAATCTAAGATATTTATATCTCATTCATTACTTTGAGAGGATAGAGTGTATGAATTAGATGCATAAACAAAAATAAAAACAACGTATGATCTCTCTCATTAAGAAATGGCCTATTCTTATCATAAAAAAATATCATAAAAAAGAAAAGATTTCTTTATTTCATTATCATTTTCTGATCAGTATGATGCCAGTTGAAATAATACAGATCATTAAAAAAATTCCTCTTTGGAAATCCATAGGCCTAGTATACAAATGCTATCAGTAATACAAACACACATGCGATTTATAATTGGTAACAAAGCATCTTTCACTTATGAAGATTTATTAGCTCCTCATTACTAATCTTTCGATGCGATTGATATTCTACTCATTATCGCATACTCGACAGTTCTTCAAAATCGTTGCATGAGAGAAGAATAACCTTTTGTACTGAATATGAAATATCTCGTTGAAGGTTTGGGAATTTAATTTCAAAGGATTAAATAATTAAATTAACATCGATGATGGCCACTTTCGTGTAAGTTTATCGTTATAAAAATATGAATCAATAGTAACTTTTTTATACCAACAATATAAAATTGTAATAAAATGTAATAATTATTTTTTTACGTAATATTATTTTTGTTTTTTCAATTTTATATAATAATCTTTTATTATTTAGATCGTTCTTTTTGTATCTATATTGTATCATTGTACATTTCGTAGACTCTAAAACATTAGCCAATAATAATCTACTTCCAGGACGCTTATTCACACTCACTTGAATTCAATGTTACAGGGTGAATATTATTTTACTTTCTTTAGTAATGCTTTACAATGTCGCTGAAGCTAAACAGCGCGTGTGCGTGATTGGCGCGGGTATGTCTGGATTAGCTGCCATTAAATTGTTACGTGATTATCCTCATGATTTTGAACCAATCGCCTTTGACAAGAATGCCGATGTCGGCGGTATGTGGATTTATACCAACAGCACTGATGTTGATGAACACGGTATACCTATAATCAGTAGTTTGTACCGCGAATTGAGGTAGTATTTTTCAATGAAACACCGTTATTTTGTATCTGAAAGATATTCTTACAACAATTCCATATTAATTGACACTGATTTTCAAGAGTTAACTTGCCGAAAGAATTGATGGCATATCCAGATTATCAAGATTTTATTGGCCAAGAGGATCGAAGCTACGTGTCTCATGAAATGGTTCTAGAGTATTTGAGAAATTACACAGAACACTTTAATCTTCGCGAAAATATTAAGGTAATAAAGACTTATCGAAAGAATTGCACAAAAAGTCGAAAATAAGGATTGACTTACAATTTCTTTCATAGTTTGAAACATTTGTCGAAAAAGTGATACCAATATCAGACAATAATAATTGGCAAACAACAAAACAACAAAATTGGAGCATCATGTCGCGAAACTTGGATACAAATGAAACTGATGAAACTATCTGCGATGCAGTCATGATTTGCAATGGGTGAGATTGATCGATTCACAAATTGTTAAATTGTATGTTGCTAGTTATACAAGTTAATTGTGCTAAAATGGGGTTGTATGTTTAAGGCACTTTTTTAAACCACACATCCCGAAAATTCCTGGAATAGAAAGTTTTTCTGGGCGAATATTACACAGTCATACTTACAGACATCCAGAAGAGTTTAAAGATAAGATAGTTGTTCTTTTGGGAGCTTCAGCATCTGGTATGGATATTGGCATCCAAATCAGTTCATATGCCAAAACGGTTTATTTAAGCCATAGACACGACAAGTTAGTATAAATCGCAATACTAGTTTTAATAATGATAATTATTTTTATAATAATAATCATCAATATTAACTCATGTACATATCTAAGTATACTGATGAAAATGACGTTTCTACTGAATAAAAATATTAATTAATTTTTCTAATTGATTTTTTTAATAAAACAGGTATAAATTAGATTTTCCAAAAAACTTGATTCAAGTGCGAGGTATCGTGGCAGCGAACGGAAGTGAACTCACCCTCCAAGATGGTTCTAAAATAACCGTCGACGTTTTTATGTTTTGCACAGGCTATCTTTACGAATTCGCATTTTTGGATGAGAGTAGTAATCTATTTTTTGAAAAGAGAAAGCACGTGCGTCCTTTGTATAAGGACTTCATAAACGTCGAACACTTGTCGATGGCCTTAATTGGATTACCCGATTTTTACGTCAAAGGAGTGTATTACTATTCTCAGGTGTGGTGACGTATTTACATCTACATATACATCTACTATTTTCATCTCTTATTATTGAAAAAAATAAATTTTTTTTCAGATAAAATTCTTTCGAAATTTGTTGCTAGGCAAAATCAAATTGCCAAGCTATGAGATAATGATGGAGGAATCTAAACGTCCACCACCAAAAACACCTCGAGGAAATGAAAATCTGACACACGACCCAGAGTGGGACTACTGTGCTGATCTTGCTAAGCAGGGCAGGTTTGAGCCTCTACCTGCTTTATATGAAAAAAGTATGGAACTGTATCACTATATATTTAGGAACTTCGCTGACTTTAGAAAATTCGATTTGAAATTACTTGAAAATGGCAAGCCAATATTTGTCCGAAGACAAAAAGAGTAAAAGATAACGTCAATAATTTTTATTAATATACACATTTTCAAAAATTATTTTCTCATTCTTTTACTTTGTCAAAATGTATACGAGCATTTAAAAATTTTCCTAATAAACTAATAGTCACAGCAGATTGAGATTATTTCAAATATAACTTTCAAATGTACATATATAATGTACATATGTATGTCGAGAGATAAGAACATTTTAATATATAAATTTTAATAAACATTTCAATATAATAGACGTAATTAAAATGATAAGTTGAAAATTCAATTGCCACATTCATTCATTCCAAAATTCATTGCACATTGTAATTAAGAATGAATTGATAATTATTATGAATTAATAATATAAAAGTTAAACTGTAATTTAACTAGTAGCCTTACTTAGCTGATAAAATAGATGAGATATAAAACAGGTACATAATAGATTTTTCCAAAAATATAGTTCAAGTATGAAGGGCCATAGTAGCCCATTGGCAGTGAACTTATTCTCCAAGATGGTTCCTCCAACTGCCGACGTTTTCATATTCTGTGCGAGCTATCTACCAGTTCCCTTTTGCCAATGAAAGCAGTAATATTTTTTTCAAAATAGCAAGCACATTGATCCTTCGTATAAGTACGTCGTAAAACGTCAACATCTGTTATGGTTTTGATTAGCTTACCCAATCTTTACATCACAAGACCGTTCTATTCTATTCTCAGGTTTGATTTTATGTGCATCAACTGTTCACATCTTATGTCTTAATATTAATAGAAATACATTTATTAAATAACAGACATAATTTTTTCGACAAAATTCTTTCAAAATTTGTTGCTGGATATGATCCAATTGCCAAGCTGCGAAGTAATCACTAAAGGCTCCAAGCGTCAACTACCAAAAACATTTCGAGGAAATGTCAATGAAACATATGACTCAGAGTGGGACTGCATTACCGATTTTAGCAAAGGAAGTGGATTTGAGGACTATATCTTACTATGCTTGAAAAACATTATCTAGAATATCAATACGATTTGAAGTTCTTTGACAACAACGATATAATATTTATTCGGTGACAGAAAGTATAAAATATTAATGAAATTATTCATATACTATTTCAAACACTGCGCGCTCTTTCTTTTACTTCGTAAAAGTATATATGAACGTGCATAAGTTATTCTAATAACCTGTCAATTACAACAGATTGATATTATCTTAAATATCACTTCCTAATGTATATCTGTAAAATGTGTCGAGAAACAGGAAAATTTCAATAAAATATAATAAACATAATTTGAATGGTAAGTTGAAAATCACATTTATTGTATGTAATAATTAAGAATGAATGAATAATTAAATTGAATTAATGAAGTGATATTAATTCAATATTGTAACAAAACTTAAACTGTAATTTAACAATTGCTGTGTTAAGTTTCGTTGAGCTGATAAAATTCGGCATCCGAATTTACCACACAGGTGCACTGTAAGCTACCGGAGCTGGGTGGGCCGAGTAAGAGGAGTAAGCCACAGGAGCAGCAGTTTTGACGACAGTTGGGCTCGCGTATGCAACTGGAGCAACTGGAGCGGCAACGTAGGCCACCGCAGGAGCAGACTTGACAACTGTTGAGCTGGAGTAGGCGACTGGGGCGGCAGCAGCATAGGTCACGGCTGGAACGGCAGTCTTGACAATTGCTGGGCTTGAGTAGGCGACTGCTGGTGCAGCGGCGTAACTGCTGTACGCCAAAGGAAGACCAAGGTGTCCGGCAGTGGCAGCAGCCAAGCACGAGGCAACGAGGATCACGAATTTGAACATCTTGGATAATTTCCTAGCTTTGATGTCTTTGAAATGAGAAGACTGACTGCGGTGTCGACTTGCCGCTGCTTGGTTCTTTTATACTAATCGAGACCAAGTAGTACATATTCGGCACAAGGTAAAACGTCCTACGAACGCCAACTTCTTTCAGTTACGAAAACACCGAGTTAAGGTCACTTGCGCTAAAAAAGTTGTTAAGTATGCGGGTTTCTCTAGATCGTATTCGGATTATATTTTTTCTTGTACACTTAGTGTCGAAATTCTCATATCCTGCTTAGCATAGAATCCGACTATTCGATATGGAAACCCTTTTTATCACAAATTTTCAAGTTATAATTTATTCTTGTCTAATTTTAATATTCATTACTTATAAAAAATACGTTAATAGATCTGAATAACGTTAAATGAATAGTTAACTTTGAAAAAATACATTAATTAGATGATACGCAAAAAATCATTTTTATATGTTCCGTAAAATCACATTAGCAATAAATTTATATATTGCTTGTATCAAAACTTTAACACATAGTTCAATTCATCATCTCTTTAATAAAAGATTGTTTTTTTTATCAATAAACATATTCGATCATTGTATTTATTCAAACCATTACTTTAATTATTTCTAATGCCATAATTGCACGTATCACACTAAGCTACAGTAGCTATTTCATGTTCGAGAATCAATGAAAAATGGCTAACGGACGTATTCATGCGGTGTATGTAGATTCCCTCTATGATTTTTAAATTCAAAAGCCAAATAGCAGCTCATAGAATGTGAGCTACTATATTCAATCTCTCTACAAACATCTTATCAATGTCAAATAGGCGTCTAGACATAACCTTGATAAGCCTACTCAATACCATAACGTCAAAGGGTTTATACATGCAGGAATGATTTTGCTAAAATTGGAACTCCATTCACTATTTGTATTCATTTCTTTATTCTACAAACGTCAATTTTCAAGACGATATGTGTATAAATATTTTCATACATTGTTTAATAATCAAAGATTTGTTCAAACAATTTTTCATGACAACAGTTACTTCATCTTTATTTGTTCAATTTATATTCCTAATTGATTTGACGATCAGACCTCTATAAACAATGTCTTTGTCATTAATCTGTATTTATCATACATATTAACGTGCATTGCGAATCATTAACTTTGTCAATCATGTGCAATGACAATAATACGTATATTTTTATTAACATTATTTTTTCTTGGAAAAATTAAAATTTATTAAAGTTGTTTATGAATGTAGTCCCACATCATAACTGAGCAACGTTAGCAAAATTAAAAAGACTTGTATTCAGTCTAATAAATTTATATAAATTCTATGTGAATATTTAGGATGTAATAACTATTCAAAAGTATATAATACTATAGTTATTATAATTTGAATAATAATGATATTCAAGCCATCTATTATACAGATAATAGTTTCAAGTAACAATTAGACTGCTGAAAAATGAACGCTACCTATCGCAAGAAACACAACTTCAAAATAATTTAAAATGTGTACGGTTGGACGAATAAATTTAGTTAAAGTTAAATTTGCATTGATGTTAAAGTTGCAGGTTATTATTACATGATTTTATTGATTACAGCTTATTAATTAATGATTGATTGATTAATAGTTTATTAATTACATAATTAGAGGCACTTAACGACAGCCTAAAATAAGCACTAACAAACATTTCATGTTCATTAGTATAATCTGATCACACGCATGAACTTGCGTATGCACGATATGTGTATGGCATTCTTCTGTAGTCATACTTTTGCAAGTGCTATTTTTAGTATTCATATGTACGTTCAACTTCTAATTGTAGAGTAATAACTAATTTTGACATTCAAATAATTTTTATTTCGTTGGGCTCCAATGCATCTGTTTGCGGCAGTAAAAGTATGTTTCGTCGTCGTTAAACATCAAAGAGAGCATAAATTATTCTCCAATTCCAACTACTACAAAATGTTAGGGAGTTATAGTTATCACAGATATTAGATTCAAAAACTTAATGACTATAAGACTGCATTTATTTATATGTATATCTGCTATATAAATATTGTGACTGAGAAATAAATATAATTAAAATTTATATTCATAAAAAAAAATTTCAAAACATAAGAAAGTCTTGAAGCGAAAGATTCGTTTTCATACACATTAATGCTTTCATTAACGCTTTTTTCTAAACTAAGACCGTGCTGAATAGTCACCAGTTAAAGAATTAAAATACGACAAGAAGGTGTGGAGTGTACGTGGGAAGTAATTGAAAAACGAGAAAATATGAGTAAAAATGAATTTATTGTATTTAGGTAACTGAACAGCGTGGTTACTCTTGAAAATGCAAAAGTAATTGATTGTATCGATCTGGCATCATCGACGAGCTCTTTACCACGCAGGTGCACTGTAAGCCAGAGGAACTGGATGCGCTGAGAAAGCGGAGTAAGCTGCAGGAACAGCGGTCTTGACGATGGCTGGGCTCGAATAGGCGACTGGAGCTGACGCGAAATTGCTGTACGACACAGCCGCTGGCACTGCTGCCGTCTTGACGATAGCTGGGCTGGAGTAGGTGACCGCTGGTGCAGCGGCGTAACTACTGTACGCCAGAGGAAAACCAATGTGTCCGGCACTAGTGGCAGTCAAGCACAAGGCGACCAGGATCACGAATTTGAACATCTTGTGTAATTTGCTAGCTTTGATCTCTTCGAGTTGGAAAGACTGAATACCGTGTTGAGTCCTCGTTGCTCGGCTCTTTTATATCAGTCTAAACCCCAACCATCCTTAGTCCTCGTCAACGATCGAATTTTGCAGCTCCTGCAATTACGCAAAGGTTATTTGCGCGAGCGGTCAACAAAAAAAACCGGTTAACCGTGGTCACTGGTCTTTTTAGATCGCGCATAGCGATTAGATTGTTGTCTTCTTTCCTATGCGCTTTCGGTGTGTAGTGAAAGTATACATATAATCATATCGCAAGGTTGTATTCAACAGTTTTGCGATGGCAATGAGACCTTACTGTTCTGGACTTTCTATAATGAAAAGGTCATGCGCCAAGGGGGACTTCACATAAGCTGTCAGAAAGATCAACATTATACGTATACCAACTCGTATTTTACATCACGTTGCAGTGCCAATCATAAGCTTTGTGTGTACCAAACCATTCCCAACGACTTTATACCGCATGACGTCATTACTCAGTCAACGTGTTAATTATTTTTGAAATGATTTATGACTTGTGTAAAAGGAAACTTGTTGATGTTAAGGCCTGCAGCGTTTTCGTTTCGTATACTTTTATGTATTTGTCGATAACAATAGATAAAATACGAAAGCATTGCAGCGCAACGTCATTTCAACTGAAACTAAGCTATGATGTTGGAATTACATTATGTAAAAAAATGAGTATATATAAAAATATTTTTCATTCCTATGACTTCTCGTTACAATTTGAATGTCTAAGTATAGACGAATGTGGGATTGCGAGTAAGTTACGATTTCCGCTCACTTTTTCCGTGAAACCGAAACTATCAAAGAAAATTAGCGCATTCGTGGCGTGTTCGCGCATTCATCGCATTATGAGTGTTCCCATGCCGAACTGTTCAGCCGTTTGAATAAAGAAAAAGGCGTAGGCGTTTCCGACAAGTGCACACATAATATATAAGTCAATGTTTTAGGGCCACATATACAGTGTATATATGTAGCAGGTAATTGAATTAGCTGCACTTCGAATACGCTTTGTTTTCTCTCTTTCCCGTAGCTTTTAAAAGGCGCACTTTTAAGATGTTTTTCGCACAGGATGTGCACTTGCACGCCCGGACGTTTATCCTTTAAATGCCCGCACGCAGGCGTAGCTAATTGCCTTCGAGAAATTCAGCTTTGACGACTAATTGTGCGACTTTGCATTTGACTTTGCACTCCAGTTACAATAAACTTATTTTCGCGATATGCCATGTTGACAGATAGCTCTTTGCTTAAGAGCTTGTAAAAATCAAAATCGACCGAACGTTACAAAGTACGTTGTCAAAATATGTTGAAACGAAGCCAGGTAATACATTTTTGAGAGCACAGGAAAAATAAAAAATTGAAGACAATTTATTTAGAGAAGTGACACGAGTGAACGGATTTTTTGTTGCAGTCAAGAAGAAAATAAAATGTACGTAATTAATTAACTTGCGCGATATGTATCTTTTGGGCAATGAAAAAAAGACGATTGCATAATTGACGCGCGAATCATAAGTGTGTTATAAATGAATCCGAGCGTTCCTCCAAAATAATTCGGCAATGTTAATCCACTGAGTAGAGTAGATAATTATAATGCTCAACACGAAATCACACCGTTCTCTCATTACGTTGGCCAAAATATCGCATGTGACTAAAGTGTAAAGAAACCGAAAAAATAGAAAAAAATGTGCGCCTCGATGGACGTTAAAAAGTCGCGCGTGCTGAGGAATAAGCAAACATAGACGGCAGCTGTAATAACGGAATCGGTGCGAGCGCGGCTTTTAGAAGAGAGCGCTCCCAAACAGCGCATGGAATAATTATCTTTTAGCGCCGCGCGCTCAGTTGCATTTTTTTCGCCTTCTTACAAGTAAGGGAGAGACAACTGTGTATATTTTGTGCTCAAGCGTTCGCTCTTTTTATTTTTTAAATTCTTTTTTATATTCACAGCGATATACTGACTACGCTCACACCTATGTTCTACCTCATAGACGATTTTCCGAGAACTCAACCAAGCTTTCTATCTTGAGTGTATATTTGCCCATCTTAACTGACCCTGCTTTTAGCTAGTGTCGATTGCCATTTAACTCTCTACTGTGCTCTTTCAGCCTTCGCACACGCGCGCGCGCGAGCGCAGTTACACACACATACACACGCGCGCGCGCGCGCAGAGCGGTTTATATTTCACATCGATAGCTATTTGCCAAACCAAAATAATATAGCACGATCTGCTGCGATAACTTTTATGGGAATATTTATTTTTTCCATATCTATAAATATAATAACAGTAATTCAGATATTTCTTGATTGCAATTATAAATAACAAATTGAAAGTTTACGTCATTCTCCTTTGTCGTAAAACTCACCGTGCGTAATCAAATACGGTTCAAAACAATAAATGTGACAGTAAAACAAAGTAACTGATTCATTACGCGGCGAACATCTATAACGTTGCCACAGAAAAGAAAAGATTAGCTGTCTACATCGGTGGTTATAACACCTTCCAACTTTATCAGTTTTATTGATCAACGAAAGAAGAAGAAAAGGAGCATACCGAGAAAGCCGAAGATCTGTTACGTCCGTAAATCGATAATCGCTTTGGTATTTGCGAGCCGCGGGTTGCCTTTCTCTGCCCGCGAGCAGGCGGAGAAAAAGAAAGACAGAGAGAAGATAATCATCGACGTAATTGTAATCAATGCTCGCGCGAGGTACTCTTAATTATGTAGGCGTCAACCGTTTAATTAGCTCATCTTAACTTGACGCTGATTTAACCGAGCGTTTGTCATGAGAAATGTGGTGGTGTGTTTTTCGCGTGCTCTCTCTCCTGTCTGCTTTAGATGTCTCCTAAGGGAGAGAGAGACATACATGCTCGTTTGCTTAATGGGACAAAGGTAAGGTGGGTGTGTGGTATTTTTTTTCACTGATAAATTTGCATTTCTATGTTTTTCGCTTTATATCCGAGTTCAATATTAAATGAACTATTTAATTGCGAATAATATCATGTGCAGTATTGTTTTTTCTCGCGTACAACGAACGTTAATTATCTCGATGACACATATACATATTCTGCGAGAAATAATTTCTTCGTCACTAGTGAGATACAATGACACTTTCATTTTTTTCACCTATCAAATTTAAGCTCTCGTACGTGATTAGTGTCAATCGACAAAGAGAAGATTGATATCGCCGACAATTTTATTTATTTATATTAAGCATTTGTTCAATCCGCGAAACGAAAGCAATGGACTGCATGCGTAGACGGTGAGAAAAGTTGCGAGTGAATATATTTGTGGTGCGTGCAGTGCTCGTACCCTTGACAATTCGTTTTTCAGTAGCTTGCCTGCCGGCATACATAAGATCTTTTGACAAAACACAAAACACCCGCTGATGTTTTTCAATAGCGCACCTTGCGCGTACGTCGTAACAAACAACAAATACAGCTCGCGTTTCTTTCCTTTTTTATCAATCCTGATTATCTCGACGACTATCGCAGTAAGCACTAACAAATGTTTCTTAACAAATAGCAATTTGTGATACCTGACCTCCACTCCATACACATACAGAGTTGTAGGAAACTAACAGTAACTCTGACGCGCGTGCGGCCGAGAGCGGAGCGTCCGATTGTGTTTGCACTCGGGCAACAATGAATCCGTCAAGTGGGACGCTATGCTGACTGCTGACCGGACCTCTCTGTCTCTCCCCCCTTTGATGGACAATGTAGACGTACTATATGCCTATTTGTTAACGAGCACGATTTGACCGATTATATTGCTGGTCGATTAACACCAGCATACCTTAATTTGATTTTATATTTCGATCGATTTCTTTGTAGCGAATATTACGTTCGACGAATCTTTCGTGCGTCTCTCTCTCTCTCTCTCTCTCTCTCTTTCTTTTTTATTTTTGTGTCGCGGATACAATGAAATTTAAAAGTAACTTTGTGCAATCAAGCTCACGGAGCAAAAAAAGTACTCGCAAAGAGCATTAACCCTCGTTGAAATTCCAGCGGCACACACGCGTGATTCTAACAAGCCATCATCGCCGTACACGTTTTCCATTTTTACGCGCACAAAGATTTGTTATTACAGGCTCTAAGGCATATACGCTACGCGGTACGGGCAGCTTTTTGCATATACACCACGTACGGTGTCTAAGAAACCTTCGCCCGCAGCTATACGCAAGATAAGACAAACGCTGACAAAAATATAGAGTCAGAAAGAGAGGGCATAGCAAGAGAGGAAAAGGTGTTTCGGCTTGTTCGGCTAGGCGACTACTGAACTGGCGGCGGCGACTATGAGAGAGAAGCTACACAGTCTGGGAATGAAATGCATACGTAAAGACTGTTTTAACGGAAATCCCCGGTCTTGCCCGCGTCTTTATTTTCTTTCTCGACCACGCCGAGGCTCGCTTCCTTTTTTCCAGGTCGTTCTCTCGGTGGTCTTTTCTCCTTGTCTCGTCTTGCATTACGGAAAGCGCTTCTTCCTGAAGAGGAGCCTGACACTTCAATTCAATGAATATTTTATCAGTCGGATTAAATGCAACGCGTATACGTCTTTGTCTCCGGTAAGTCAAGTTTGAGCGGCGGTCGGGGCGCTTGCTTGACCCGCGATAACGACACTGGCGCCGAAGCGTAGAAGTCGAAGAGGTCGACCGCGCGCTCCGTGAAAAACAAATCTAACGACCTGCTCCACATTGCTGTTACTTTTTCTCGCAAATCACGTACAAGTCCGTGAAATGTTTGTCAGCGTGCGAGTTTGAAAGCCACGCGGAGAAAGATGAAAGTGCCGGATGCATCTTAATTAAATTCAAGCTGTGCGAGCGCGCGTCGTCATCCAGTAATAACGGCGTTGATTAATTTCAGAGCAATTATTCAATCATCGCTCATCTCTCACTCTCGGACCCATCATCTTCGCGTATGGTGGTTAAGTGCTATATGCGCTGCTGCCATATAGCATGCATGCTCT